AATTTAAAGAATTATAGGAGATTATGCTATTGATCGCAAACTTTTTTGATGTGTGTATATATATATATCCTTCTATACTTAGGAATCGCATATTTAAGGTGAAAATGCGACCGCTAGCAACAATATTTGCCCAACGCTTTGGGACCTTTGCATTTCCTTTCATTTACAACAGAATTGCAAAAATATACGACATTAAAGAGAGCTCTATTCACAAAGCGAAGAGGATTATTAGGTCACATATCCAGTCTTGGAACTATGAACTTACAGAAAGCTTCCTAGGAATCGTTGGGTGAGTGGGTTGGTTGTGGTTTTAGTTGTTGCCATTCATTGTTTTGACAGGAGTTGTCAACTTGGAGTGACTGCCTGTTGGGGTGGCTATTGGTGTGAGTTTCCAGTTGTGAACATGATTACATTTTCATTCACGTGAAGCACCTTAGTAGTTGGTAATTATTATTATTAAATATAAATATTTCTTTGTGTAATAATATGTTGATCACAATTGTTTTAAATTCATGCTATTTTACTTAATACAATCTATAATAATTCCTATCTTACTATATATATTCTTGTGTTGGATTTAATAGATATATAAGTTCTTATTATTTGTAAAATATAATCGTAAGGTAACGAGTAACGCAACGTGTTACGCTATGCAATGCCAGAATTAATAAATTGAAACCGTAAAAGGGTCGCCACAGGACAGGTTTAACCTAGTGTGGGACCGACTGTAATGATTCACAATGTTTTCAGGCATGGCATCACGCTAATTAGTTAATTTAAAGAATTTAGCATAAGTTAAAGTTAATTTAGCATAAGTCTCTTGTTCTTTTCTTAAAAATGTAAATATGTTAAGTATTTTGGTTTTCTTTGTGTTTGTGATGCCAAAATTAACATATTCTATTATATATCCGTAGTACCACTTCCATGCCTTATTATCTAGTATTCGTATAGCAAAGTTCATCAGTTCTACTTATGACCGCTAATAGCGCGTAGTATTATGTATAATAAATGCCAAGCAAATATTCTGTAGATCATCAACATTGCAAACTCATGGTAGAGGTACAGGTATCGCCAAAATTGTTGTCAGTAAATTATGCGTATGTATTTCCTATATGCATATCGATAACAAGTATTTCGTGCCTTATTAATTAGACCATAAGTGAAGTTGAACTATGAGCCGTTACACACGGCGACTTTAGGTACGCGATTAGCGACTAAATCGCTGCAGAAAATCGCCGTCTGTAGCCGCGCTCTTTGATGTACAGTCAAGAGCACGTCAAGCTTGACACTTTGTACTTTAGACCGTTCTTGTGGTAAGCGGCATAGAGTTGGATATAAATCTGAAGCGTCAAACTTGACGTGCTCTTTACCCTGTACCATATGTAAGTTATTAAGTATTGTTAACAAAATAAAGTTTTATAATACCCACGAAAATTTTAATTTGGAAAGGTATATTAATATTGAATTTTTATTACTGCTGAGCTACAAATTCCGGCGTTGAAGTCATTGGCTTGATTATATTGTTCGCCTCGCCCTTTTCGTCAACTATTATTGTTGGCTTATATTCAAAGAACTTAGCTATGAAGTACCTGGAAAATTATAATAAAATTATTTACTATACCTAACTTCGTAATATGGGTATACGATATTCGTAAGTAACAAAAAATTAAAATTAACTACATAGTGAATGTACGTTGATGAGTGCTTTGGTTAACATATCGCACATGACAACTAACGTGGTATTATATCTTGCAATTGCTTTAGGTTATATTAACATTACCTATTTAATTTCAAAGCGACAGTGTTGTCCTGTCACTTGGAAATCAAATCGTATACGAATGACATACAAATAAAGCGAAATTTTGGTGAATAATTATTAATCTAACGCAACTTTTAGATAAAATCGATACCTCCCACGAAAGTACCATTTTTTACTTTTTAAGTCAAATATATACTTTTTTATGCATATTGTACGTTTCATATTTAAAAGTAAAGAAATCGCTTAGTGTTATGTTTGCTTCCAAACATGGAACCTATAATACACTTCCGGACACATAATTCGAGCCACCACGCATTTTCAGTTTTAAGTGCCCTAAGCTTAAGCAATGTTTGATTGATCAAAAACTGTTATGCAATTTTGAAACTAGTATACTAAACGTCTTTTGCTTAAGTCCTTGTTGGGAATTTGGATTTGCAAAACCGGGGAAAACTTTTTCTTCGATAATAACACTATTTTTGTATTCTAGCCCTTTACGACAAAAATGCGAGGTAGCTCGGATTACGTGTCCGGGAGTATATAAATAAAAAAAGGATAATATATTTAAATAAAAAAGCGCAAAATGGTATTTTGACTCACAACTTAAGTCTCTCACTTAAGTTGTTGTGAGTATCGAAATATAACGCAATTTGTGAGATAATACTATGTTAGTTGTCAAGTGCGATATATTAAGTATTACGGATTTATACTTAACTAAATGAAATATACAGGGTTATTTGTAAAATACTAACAAGTTCGCAGGACTATAATATTACTAACATCATAAACAAAAACTTGTTCCTTGCCTTGTTTTAACGCACACACTATTATAGCCCCGCGCTGACTCAATAGAGACGTAATCTTATATGGACTTACAATATATATCTCTCCCAGGGAATCGAACCTGGGACCTCTGCGTGGCAGACCAGCATGGTTACCGTTCGGCCACGAAGGCAGTGACTTTCTAGAAAATACAATAAAATTACCAAAAATAAACTTTTAGGTTTATGTTGTATTCTATCTGACACTTTTTATCCGTATTTGGTAGTAAGTTATTAATAGGGAGTGGATACAACCTCTAATGGTTTTGGTTCACTTTGGAAAAAATTATATACTAAAATTGCAGATGTACACTGATTTGTATCCGGCGTGAAAACACGATTTCTAAAAATTTTCTCGAAATTTTACAAGATAACCGCTGTATTCAAGGCCCTTTCCTCGTGCTCATACTAGGTGCTCCTTGGTAGGAGCACGAGGACTAATATGTCCTTAAGCTCCTACTGGTAGGACCAAGAGGACTAATTTGTCCTTGTGCTCCTATCGTGACGTATCTAATAAGTACACTGAACTAGAATAAAAAAAAGTATAAAAAAAAAATTCAATAATATCTTTATTTCATAGGTAAGAATAAAATTATACTTGAAATTGTCATTTTGCGCTCTTTCGTAAGGCAGATTCCCCTGAGAAGGATGATGAAGAAACTACGGGTCGCTCTTCAAAATTCATATAGTAATTTAAATGTACATACAGAAACAACCTGAAAGAGCTAAACGAAATAATAATATAACGATAAATGAAAAAAGGAATTTAATATTTAGTAGCCTGTCCTCGACTGTGGAAACGGCATAGCAGCGGCGCGGCATCGACTCTATAAACTTTTTGCAATTTCATCATGCAGCATATTCTAAGGTACGTACTGCTTGCCATCAGAGCATAGTCTGTTAATTTTAGTTTCATCCGAGAAAAGTACATATTTCCACTGCGCCTCTGTCCAGTGTTCATTTCATACTTCCTTATAAACGCAAGTCGGGCCTGTCTTTGTCGCGGTGTCAACTTGGGCGTCTTCCTTGTTACTCTCCCAAATAAGTGTGCCTCCACCAAGCGTCTTCGAACGGTGCGTGCAGATACTGCGCGAGGATTGTTCTCACCAAAAACTTCGTTTTTTATTTGATTTGAGCCTTTGAATGGGTCTTGCTTAGCGAGATTACTATTCTTGAATCTTCTCGTGAAGACGTTTTTCTTTCTTTAGGTTTACGAAGAATGTTCGTAGTTGTCTTGTGTGTTTTAAAATGTTTCACGGCATGATACACCTTCGTTTTTGAGCAATGCAAATGATCTGCAATTTTCTGATATGACCACTTACGACCACGCAGGTTTCGTTATATCCTCTTGTAGCAGGGTCACAAGATTTATTTTTTCCCATTATTTTCTATAAATAATTGCACAAAATGTTCTTAAACCAACAATGCCGCGCAAAGGACATAAAAATAGTAATGTAGAATTATCGCACTCAATTTTCAAAATAGTAAAAAAGAAAATGATATTTTAGTTCTTAATTATTTGTCCAACCAGTAAGTAACTGAGTGATTGTGATTTATTAAATAAATATATATATAGGTACAATTATTTAAACAAGATTATTACGCTAAATAAAATAGGTCTATCCAGATAATATTGTTTAATATCATCAGAGGATATTTTTAAATTAATTCTACACTAAATGATTATTGCAAAATAATAATGGCTTTGTGTCATTAATCGTTCTTAATTCTATGACCACCACTGTATATATCGTATAATATACGTGTGTATAGTATACGATATACATTTTACAACGAGCTGAGGTAGTATTAACTAAGTTCAAACGTGCAAGCGCCTTCCCCAACGACCCCCACCGCGTTCCTGTTTTTACCAGAGTTATAATCGTACAGAATGTTTAGACTGCTCTATTTGAATATTTTCATTTCTGTACGAAAGTAAAATCTGATGATTATTAAAAAAGTCATGGAACAAAAGTTGTAGTTTATGATGTTAGTAATATAGTCCAGCGAGGTTGTTAGTATTTTACAAATAACCTTTAGTTAATTTGAGTAATGAACTCAAAACAATATTAATATTATTCTTATTTATTTCTTTGGTTTCAAATTAATTGAAATCCAAGGAGCTTACCAGACAAGTATTTCGACGGTCACAAGTATAGCAGCGGCAACCGTTTGCAGAGCAACGTGGCCGGGGTTAGAGGTGCCTCTAAGGAGAGCAGATATCATCGCATCACCTGCGTCAGAGGCTGCTTCAAGCGCAGCTACGAGTAGAGCTGGTGCTGCCAACCAACGTGCACCACGGCGCCACCACGCCTGCTGTAATAAGAATAGTCGTTAGAACCAAGTGCTATTATCGCTAATTTTCACTCGTTAGTAGACGACGGAATTAACTGGACCCATAGGTATCGAGGGAAGGGAAACCTCCCTTAGAGGTATTAGGGTATTTTTTTAAATATTTCTTTTTATTACCGGTTCACAAAACTGGATACAAACTCTTAAGTAAAATACAAGTGATCGGTTAACATTATAAGAAGAGAAGAGTGTGTATCCTTCTAGATGTAAACACAACATTTCGTATTTAAAACAAAAAAAAATGCTTTAATAAAATTATTGTAATTTAAAATGTACGTCTACAATATATAAAAAAACAGACAAATAAGACCCATCGTGCAGTCAGCACGTAGGATAATGTTTCAATGTTGTCAAAATATTTGTCCCAGAAAATTACGCATGATTCGAATTTTACCAAAATCAAACTCTTGCCATATATGTAATAACACGTGAAATAACCCTTTGTTGCCCGTGGTACTACCAGCAGTACTACTAGTAGTTACACAAGCAATAATAATCTCCCTGTAACTACCGAAAGGCCTAGTAGTTACACGGGCAATAAATAATCTCCCGTGTAACTACCGACAGGCCTAGTAGTGTCAGGGGTAATTGGTTTTGTCCGTGGTACTAACACGGGCAATAATACTTTCGTCGACGACCGACACCGACGTCGTATTTTTGGATATCAATCAAGAAGGTATTAAAAACCGTTTTCTGGATAGTTTTCTTTATTAAAACACCTTGTATTCGGAATACGCACGAAGTAAGTAGGAAAGCAAAGACAGAATAAAACAGTAAGCGGCCAGTTACATGACGCGAAAGATTTCCCGCGGCGACCGCCCGGTTACCACGCTTTCATGTACGTAAATAGCGTATCTAAATTATATTTACTAGGCAACAATATTTAAATTCCTCTGAATAATACAACCGCGCGGCCGCCGGGCGGCCGCCGCATAGACCAAATTGAAGCCAGACTCGCCCGCGCGCCCGGGACACTCATTTAAGTTAAACCGTAAAAGCTAAATGAATAGAGCGTATTTTGCCATGACAGTTAGATTCACGCAGTCTCCGCGTGACGGTCGCGCGGGGTGAGCGTGATGAAATTCATGTCGAATATATGCGCCTCTGTTAACCTATCACACATGTTTCAAAACGCTAAAACTTTATTACATCGTACATTAGAACTTCACTAATTCCATAAAGGTAGGTAACTATAAAGTAGAGGGTACATAACCTTAGACATAATTGCAACAAGGAGTAACAATGAAGACACGGCGGTAACAAATGCGCTCAGTTTGCCGTAACCCATCACCAATCTAATCGTTGGCTTCGTTATGCTGAAATACATCGTACATGAGGGAATGGAGAAACAGATTAAATAGGTACAAACAGGTAGGAAAGAAAGCGAATATTTATTGTCAGTAGGTATCTGTTCCTAAGCATTTATTATATAGTAAGGTAGGCACTAGGTATATTTATCTTCCACTCAACAGTGTGATATTTTTAATAGAGCGCGCAAAAATAGAATCATCGTATTTTCAATACTAATTAACATAATGTTTTATATGTATAGGTAATTTGCAAAGTATTACACACAGGTAAGGCCCTAGTTTATTCATTTTAATAAATATTCGTATTTTTTTAATCAAAAAATGAACAATGTACCTAATTAAAAAGTTTATATACTCACATTACTGCATGGCAGCAGTACTTCCCTGGACGAACTCTTTCACAAGGAGCTCCACTGCTACTAACATTACCAACAATATTACAATTAGTAGCATCTTACCGCCTAGCGAAACTAACGTTGTTAAGTTTCTGCGCAACCTCGTCGTCGTCTAGTTCCAATTCGACGGGCTGCGAGGCAAACGCACACGCAGACATCGAGATTCCCAGCAGTGCCACAAGGAGCGCTCGAAGACGCATGCGCACGCCCTCCGTAGTTTCAACGTACGAACTGTTTAACTGTAAAAAATATGCGTTCGTGCAGGCAACTCATAAACTATTTTATCAATAATAATAATAACAATCCTTTATTATCTTAACACATTTTAGTCTAGTTTCTAGTGGCAGGAGTCTCCTTATACCCCCTTATAACCCCGCCCTTCCATCCCCAAAACTTATTATATAATTTAAGATACTTCAATTACTGCATTTTTAATAAAATTTGCAAATTTAAACAATTTTAAACTTTTTAACACCAAATCATAATAAAGTGACATTAGTCACTTAATTGCATAAATTAATATTAATCACAAACCGTGTTTATAATTTTATATTTTGCTTTTTACATTTCATTATTTAATAAGTTTAATAAAATTACTAACACTCCACTTTTAAAATATAAATAAATTCATTATAATTATACTATTATCTGTGGAAGCTTATTTGGCCGTCTGTATTTATTTTTTTGTATGTACTTGTACCTAGCTGTTAGTTTCCCTACAAAAGTAAAATAAAATAAAATAAAATAGAATAATTTGTAATGTACATTCAATTTAGTTTAATTCTTAATTAATTACTTCATTAATAATTTTCTGTTAAAAAATTCAATTTAATTGTTATGTAATAAGCAGGGATCGGAATAAGTAGAGTATTTTACCTAAACTTCGAGGAACATAGACAGAAAACGGATAAGGCAGTCGCCTTACGGCAATATTTTTTGGGTCCTGGACCTGTTCGGGATTCGGAAAATCACTTAAGCACATTAAAAATTGACGTATTTGGGGACAGGTACACTATACAGCGACTCAGTGGGTAAAATTTAATTTTTTTATTTTATTTTTCATTTTATTATTTATTATATTATTTATTTTATTTTATTTTTTATTTTATTTTTTACTTTATTTGTAATTTTATTTTATTTTATTTTTTATTTTATTTTTTACTTTATTTGTAATTTTATTTTATTTTATTTTTATTATATTTTTATTATATATTATATATATTTAATTGCGTGCGTGTGTGCGTGCCTGCGTGCGTGCGTGAGTGCGTCTTTGTGTCTGTGTGTCTGTGTGTCTGTGTGTCTGTGTGTCTGTGTGTCT